GGCTTTTATTTCATTTCCCGGGCCGCTTGGACACCCCCCCCCCCGTCCACCCCTGTATATAATTATTCTAAAATATTTTTATCAGCAATGATTGTGCAGCTTATCTACACTATCGATATCCCATATATAAACGTATGGCTAATCGACTATGTCCTAAGCTTTTAACGAAGTCGAGCAAGCTTAAGTTTCTATCGATTCATATTTTCACCCCCCCCCCCTCCCCGACCCCACGACAGATTGAGATCAAGTTCATGCTAGCCCCAAACGGACCACAGAGCGGTGACGTGGATGTGCGCCCGGCCGCTGTCAGCTTTGAGAAGCTGGACAGCCGGAGCCAAACCTGGACACCCCTCCACCATTTATCCAGGAACTGTACCCGGCACTTCCCGGGGGTGCCCATCTTCAGCAGCGCGAACAGAAACTTTACCGTCACTTACTGCGAAAACTTCTTGGAGTTTTATGACGATGAGGACAACTGGGTAAGGCTTTGAAATCATTGCTACGAGATAACACACATTATAAAAATAATTGTAATAACTTGATGGTATTCTGTAAGGGTTGTGGCGTATGTGGCAAGTATTTTTTTCTACACATGCACATACACAAACACATACATATATGCAGAAACACACACAGACACCCATACAACAAACATATTTAAAGATGTGTGTGTGTCTGTGACGTAAAGACAGACACTTCTGACGCCAACCTCATTTGCTTCACTGCACACTTTAGGTTTATGATAAGCAACTAGCTTACATAAAGCTAACCACACGTAAGGCAGCTAGCTTACATAAAGCTAACCTTATGTAAGGCAGCTAGCTTACATAAAGTTAAGCTTATGTAAGGCAGCTAGCTTACATAAAGCTAACCTTATGTAAGGCAGCTAGCTTACATAAAGCTAAGCTTATGTAAGGCAGCTAGCTTACATAAAGCTAACCTTATGTAAGGCAGCTAGCTTACATAAAGCTAACCGTATATAAGGCAGCTAGCTTACATAAAGCTAACCGTATATAAGGCAGCTAGCTTACATAAAGCTAACCTTATGTAAGGCAGCTAGCTTACATAAAGCTAACCGTATGTAAGGCAGCTAGCTTACATAAAGCTAACCGTATGTAAGGCAGCTTGCTTACATAAAGCTAACCTTATGTAAGCAACTAGCACACACGGTACATCGTCAAAACTGCCCCGTGAAATCGACCCCCGACAGAACGGCCCAGTCAAAATAGCCCCGTCAAAATGTACCCGACATATTGGCTCCCGTCAAATGGGTTCCCATCTCTTGTTTGGTAAGCCTTATTTTATATTATTTTATATAGTATAAGAAATAGTATGTTTTAAATTCAAGGGTCATATAGCTATGACTTCCATTAATGAGTCGGTTGTAGGCTGTGCTAACTCAGTGTTTGGGAGAGATGTCCTTGCTGTACATTATCAAAATGTTTAAATTGGTGAAATTTAGCTGTTAAGGGCTCGATTTGTATGTAAATTGCTGTTGGTTCCTGAAAAAAACAACTCATTCAGGCATTTAAAAGTGGCTATAGAAGTGGTTAGGACAAATGATTACGTTTATGCCAATAGTGGTCACACGATTCATTTGTCTGGAGCCAATATGTCAGGAGTCATTTTGTCGGGAGCCCATTTATCGAGAGCCAGTATGTCGGTAGCCAATGTGTCCTGAGCATATTTGTCAGGAGCCAATATGTCGAGAGTCCAATTGTGGGGAGCCTAAATTTCGGGAGCCCGTTTGTCGGGAGCCTATATGACGGGGTTCATTTGTCGCTGGCTTCTTTAACGGGGCCGATTTGACGGGGCTCTTATGTCAAGGCTGTTTTGTCATTGGCCGTTTTGACGCCGCACGAGCACACATATAGCTAACCTTACGAACAAAAAAGTGGATCGCAATTTAAAAAAAAACCATCTAATGGCTGGATCATAGATAATACTTTAATTCAACTAGGTGGTTTGGATAACCCTGTTAAGCAGTTATTATAATAAGTTTACATTGTAAACCTTAAAATGAGTTACAATCAACCAACTAATTCAACGGATCAAAGCAAATATTGTAAAATCGTGTAGCTAGATTACGTCTAACCCACCCAACTAATAAAACGGATTAAAGCTAATCCTTATAATCCTGCAGTTGGAATACAACCCGGGTTTTTACTACGACGCCAGAAACAACCTGTACAAGAACAACCAGGCCGCCAGGGAGCGCTTCACCGCCTCGGCCATCAGGATCTACGTCACTGTGCCGGCCAGCTCAGTGCCGCTCATGTCCTACGTGGCCGTCAGTGACGTCACCATTGAAGGCCAGTGCACGTGCAATGGGCACGCGAGTACATGCAGTGGACCGGTACAATTTTTTTTATGTGCGAGTAATTTATATACGATGGAACACGCCTTCAACAGGTATACTAACGGGAACAGGATATTACAGACACACACACACACACACACAAACACACACACACAAACACACACACACACAAACACACACGCACGCACACACACACTCACACCAAACACACACCACACACACACACACACAAACACACACACACACACAAACACACACGCACGCACACACACACTCACACCAAACACACACCACACACACACACCACACACACACACGCCTCTGACATTTTCTTCAGCCATTAAAGCCCACCTTTCCTCGACCCTTGAGACTTTCTCCCGGCATAACCCCCGGAACAATTACTCCCATGTCAACTCCCTTGCAGTACAATGCCTCCCCGACCAAAAAAAAAAACTGCTGTAGGATATTAAACCCTGTCAATATTCCCCCCACCCCATTCCGATACTTAGAGATAGATACGAATAGGGATAGGTTAAGGATAATTAAGGAATAAGGTTAGGGAACGGGTTTGGTATAGGGTTTGGAATAGGGATATGGTTTTAGATATAGATGGGATTTCGGTTAGGGATATGGTTTGGGATAGTGGTAGATGAGTGGTAAGGAAAGGGTTAGTTTTAGGAATAGAAATAAGAATAGGGATTAGTTTAGGGGTATGGGGTAGAGTAAGGGTTAAGGTTAGAAATAGGGTAATTGTTAGGCTTAGGTAATGAATAGGCTTATGGATAGAGAGCTGGATATGGTGATGGATAGAGATATGTATATGCATAATATTTATTCAAATTTTTTTCAAAAGGTATAGGGGGTAAGTGATGGGGGTATTGACAAGGCGGGGTAATGCCCTAAATTCATCAGGTAAAAAACGGACGATAAGTAACAGCAGGTAAAGAACAGCCGGTAACCATGTAACGTAGCTCAATTAAGCTACAGACACGGCCATTAACATTAATTGTAATAATACACATACACGCCTACATAATTATGGAGCCTATATACATATATACAAACTTGAGTTTTAGTAGTATAAAGATATATATATATATATATATACATATATATATATATATATATATATATATATATATATATATATATATATATATATATATATATATATATATATATATATATATATATATATATATATATATATATATATATATATATATACAACTCCTGCTAGAATGGAGCCACCTGTGATTGTCAACACAACACCACGGGACAACAATGTAGCACGTGCTTGCCACTATACAACAACCGACAGTGGTTGCCAGGCAACACAACGTCAGCTGGGACGTGCGTTGGTGAGTACAACGTGCACTCACGCGCGCATTCTGTCTATCGCGTCATCCGTGTGTTTGAACCCTCTCGCCCTGGTCGCATGGCTAGTGAGATTTTGTTCGACAGAAATCCTCCCGCCTTGATCCTGTTTTATGTTTGAAATACAATGTTCTGGACACTGTTTGACACTGCCAACAAGTAGATATAGACAAAGGAACTGCTGAGATTATAAGATGTACATTATGATGTTTTGCAGCTTTTTGTTATCTTGTTATGAAGTTCAGTTCAGATACAGCAATTAAAAATGTTTTATTATATATATATATATATATATATATATATATATTATCATTTTGTTTTATAGATTCAACAGCTCATTGCTGTTTTCATGCTGCTGTGCTGTTTCACTCTACAGCCCATTTCTCTCACCCATGTTACTAGCCGCATGATACACGTTTTTTTTCATCAATTTTTTGCTCCCTCTTCCTCTTTCCCATCCCCCCCCCCCAGTACATCGCACCACTTGGGTTGGACATGCGGGATAGCTTATTCGGGGGTTGATCACGTTTTGAACTCAAGACTTTCGAGCTTAGATCGATTGTCACAACATATCGACTTTAAATAACAATTAGCTTACAAAAGATGAAATATTACAAAGTATCGACCATGTAACATATCGACTCGACCATGGCTGGGGGGGGGGGGAGTATTGCGAGTTTTGGTAATTGTTTAAGGGGTCATCCATAAATGACGTCACGCTTTTTTGGACGATTTTTACCCCCCCCCCCTCCCCTCCGTCACAAGTCGACACAAAAAACCAGACCCCCCTAAAATGAAGTCACACCTCAGCCTACAACCCCCCCCCCCCTCAAAATAGCAGTTGAATTTTTTTTTTAAAACATCGATATTTTTCTAAAATCTTGTCTGAACTCTGTCAAAATAGAGTATTTAATCAATTCCTATTACAATTTATTAAAACAGTTTTCTAAAACGCGAAATAACGACTAAAATTCATTTTTAACATTGCTTTTTTAAAATGCAATAGTGTGACGTCGCACCATCATCACACACCGTCACAAAATTACGGACCACCCCTCCCCCCTCTGAGTGCGACGTCATTTATGGACGACCCCTAAGAATGCTGCAGTACATTCCTGCTAAAGTCTATTTCATCCGGGAGAGGCGGGCGTTTTACACATTGTCTCACTCTTTAAATTACTTTCTCCAGACGGAGTGGGGGGGGGGGGGGGCTTGAAACTTTCCAGAGGGTGCACTTAAATTTCCAGAACGGGATGGGGGGCGTCACTGTGTCCACACCGCTCCACCCCCCCCCCCCGAAAAGATGCCCGAAAGAAGAAAAAGAAACTCGTTCGATTCTTTCAAATATTTCGAAACGGATTCGCCAATTCTTTCAAACGTTTCTCTCCCAGCATGCACCTGTAACGGATACGCCAGCTCGTGCAATTACGAGCCAATCAAGAACAAGGGCGTGTGTATCACCTGCTCCAACAACACGGCGGGCGATAACTGCGACACATGCGCAGTGGGCTACTTCCTGAACCCCAGGCGCGCCAATCAAACGTCATATAACACGACAGAGCCTTTCTGTTTACGTAAGTACAGCTGTTGTTTTTTTTTTTATTGGAGGAGGTCCGATATGCGTGACGTCAATTTGTCCTAAAGCAATATGTTACTGTAAAAAAAAATATTTTGAACCTTCACTGGGAGTGTTTCTTCAAGACTTTTTTCTCCCGGGGGGGGGGGGGGGGGCGGGGGAAGGGGGATGGCACTTGATATTTTTTGGAGGGGGCGGGGCGGGGCGGGGGTGAAGAGATGCCTGGAAGAAACTCTGTTCACTGGTCAGGTACGCCCTCTGAATCTCCTGAAATAGTGAAAGCTAGTGTAGGATATAAGACCTCCCCTAGTAAAAAACTTTTCTAAGGTTACCTACCCTTTTCTAACTGACGGCCATTACTACAGATGAAGTAGAGTTCGTGTATTTCTCGGACATCGGAATACAAAGGACAGTTCTATGATGACCCCAGGAAATCAAATGTTAAGACTTTAGCTTTAATTGCTGATTTTAAACTAAATTTTCTTTTGTTGTAATTTTTACTTTTGATTAGCTTGCAACTGCAACCCTAATGGCACCCAGAGTGGATCTTTGACTACCTGTGACGTCACTACCGGCCAGTGCGCGTGCAAGGAGCGCGTGACGCAGAGGGATTGTAGCGAGTGCAGGGACACGTTCTGGGGCCTCAGCGGGGATAAAGTGCTTGGATGTGACGGTAGTGCCACTTAACACTGACTCTTGTGGTAGTGCCACTTAACACTGACTCTTGTGGTAGTGCCACTTAACTCTTGACTCTTGTTGTAGTGCCACTTAACTCTGACTCTTGTGGTAGTGCCACTTAACACTGACTCTTGTAATTGTTCCACTTAATTCTGACTCTTGTGGTAGTGCCACTTAACACTGACTCTTGTGGTAGTGCCACTTAACACTGACTCTTTTGGTAGTACCACTTAACTCTGACTCTTATGGTAGTGCCACTTAACTCTGACTCTTGTGGTAGTGCCACTTAACACTGACTCTTGTGGTAGTGCCACTTAACACTGACTCTTGTAATTGTGCCACTTAATTCTGACTCTTGTGGTAGTGCCACTTAACACTGACTCTTGTGGTAGTGCCACTTAACACTGACTCTTTTGGTAGTGCCACTTAACTCTGACTCTTGTGGTAGTGCCACTTAACTCTGACCTTTGTGGTAGTGCCACTTAACACTGACTCTTGTGGTAGTGCCACTTAACACTGACTCTTGTGCTAGTGCGACTCAACACTGACTCTTGTGGTAGTGCCACTTAACACTGACTCTTGTTGTAGTGCCACTTAACTCTGACTCTTGTGATAGTGCCACTTAACTCTGACTCTTGTGGTAGTGCCACTTAACTCTGACTCTTGTGGTAGTGCCACTTAACACTAACGCTTGTGGTAGTGCCACTTAATTCTGACTCTTGTGGTAGTGCCACTCAACACTGACTCTTGTGGTAGTGCCACTCAACACTGACTCTTGTGGTAGTGCCACTTAACACTGACTCTTGTGGTTGTGCCACTTAACACTGACTCTTGCGGTAGTGCCACTTAACACTGACTCTTGTGGTAGTGCCACTTAACTCTGACTCTTATGGTAGTGCCACTTAACTCTGACTCTTGTGGTAGTGCCACTTAACACTGGCTCTTGTGGTAGTGCCACTTAACACTGGCTCTTGTGGTAGTGCCACTTAACACTGACTCTTGTGGTAGTGCCACTTAACACTGGCTCTTGTGATAGTGCCACTTAACTCTGACTCTTGTGGTAGTGCCACTTAACACTGGCTCTTGTGGTAGTGCCACTTAACACTGACTCTTGTGCTAGTGCCACTCAACACTGACTCTTGTGGTAGTGCCACTTAACACTGACTCTTGTGGTAGTGCCACTTAACTCTGACTCTTGTGATAGTGCCACTTAACACTTACGCTTGTGGTAGTGCCACTTAACACTTACGCTTGTGGTAGTGCCACTTAACACTGACTCTTGTGGTTGTGCCACTTAACTCTGACTCTTGTGGTAGTGCCACTTAACACTGACTCTTGTGGTAGTGCCACTTAACACTGACTCTTGTGGTAGTGCCACTTAACACTTACGCTTGTGGTAGTGCCACTTAACACTGACTCTTGTGGTAGTGCCACTTAACACTGACTCTTGTGATAGTGCCACTTAACACTGGCTCTTGTGGTAGTGCCACTTAACACTGACTCTTGTGGTAGTGCCACTTAACACTGACTCTTGTTAAATTGTGCCACAATACTGACTCTTGCGGTAGTGCCTCTTAACACTTACGCTTGTGGTAGTGCCAATTCAAACTGACTCTTAGATGAATATAGTGACTCTAAACACTGACTCTTAGATGGATATATAACCCCCCTAATTTACCACTTAACACTAACTGTTATTGAAAGTAGTGTCGCTAAAATTATCTGATTTGCATAACTTTGTTTTTGAAAATCACAAAATTTGCGTATCCTTAATCTACGTGAGTCCTAAAAACACGAATGTAACAAAAATGGTGGTTTAATATAGCGTAATATGGAGAGTGCAAGTGATGAGATAAGATTGTGTTATATGACGTGTACACCTTCCCTAAACAGCGTGTTCGTGTAACCCTATTGGAACTGTGAACAACACCAACCTGTGCAACAAGACAACCAGCCAATGTTTGTGTAAACTAAACGTCGAGGGCACGGACTGCAGCCAGTGCAAGGTAGATGTGTTTCGGTACTTTTGATTCCGCGTGGGATTTAGCCTAACTTGCGTAAGAATATGGCATAGAGGTTTTAAGGCGGACCATTTAAAACGCGCTAAAATGTGAATATATTATGTGTTCACGCTAACCAGTAACCTACAGGGGGAGCGGGGGCTGCCGGGGAGCTATCATTTAGAGGGTTTCCAGAAATATGCGCAATTAGAAAACTGCGCCACGGAAAACTGCAGCAAACAGAAAAAATTCTGTGTTGAAATTACCCTGTTTTTCACATAAATTACAGTGATTATATAGGGAAATACAACTGGTCAGTTTTGACCACTTACAGATTTTTCCCGGATATTGCGAGTTTTTTTTTTCTAACATCCCTAGGCGTTTTTTACGACCTCACAAAATATCAAGGGGAGTCGTTCGGCAAAAGTTTTTGTCGATATATATAGCTCGTAAAAGCGCCGATCAGTCGAGGTCAGTTATGACCCCCTGACCGGCACCAGTCCCCGTGTTCTTTCGGCCCGAGCCAAATTTAAAGAGCCTGCGGCGCCAGAAAGTACCCGATCGGGCATCCGACCACTTTGCTTTATATATATATATATATATATATATATATATATATATATATATATATATATATATATATATATATATATATATATATATATATAGATATTGTTATATTACCATCATTTTCTTCTTGCTTTTTGGGTGGGGCTGGGCGAGAGGGGGCCGTGTGTGATATCCGCTCTACGCATTCTTTACCCCACAGGTCAACACGTACAACCTGACGTTGACTAACCCCAACGGGTGCAGCTCGTGCGACTGTGACCCGGGGGCGTCGTCCAGCAGCTCCTGTGACCCTGGGTCCGGCCAGTGCTCCTGTCTGGGTAACTTGATGGCCCGGGACTGTCGGCTCCCTCCCCTGGGCTACTACGTGCCTCGTCTGGACGCCATTGTTCTGGAGCCGGAGAGCTTCACATCTGAGGTATTTATGGTTGAATCACAGGGGGTTTTATAGAGAGAGCTTCACATCTGAGATATTTGATGGTTGAATTACAGGGGTTTTTATAGAGAGAGCTTCACATCTGAGGTATTTGATGGTTGAATCACATGGGGTTTTTTTTTAAACTGATGGTTCCCATGTATTGGGAAAAAAATTTGAAAGATTTTTTTGCGTTTGATACAAAGTAGAGGTATTTTTTTAACTATATTCTAATGCTTGGGGGGGGGGGGTGAATCTTATGCTGCCACCCCCACCTTCTCACCACACCCTACTTTATATATGTATTACCCATCACCCCTAAACTTCCGGTTTCAGAATGTCGTGTTACGCACTGGTCACGGTACAGCGGACGCCACAGTGAGTGGGCGTGGTTTTGTCAGGTTGTCTTCTGGTCTCCAGACACAGCTCAGGTTTACGTCACTTTTTAACGGACCAATGGAAGCTGTTGTCAGATTTGAGGTCAGTGAGTTATTTGTTTCATGAAATTAACTTATGTTTTTTAGTAGAACTGTTTGTGGGCCGAACGATGAATCATATGAGTTCAATTCTTGGGTTTTGATCCGAATAGTCAACATAAATACACCCAAAGTTCCGACTTAGACCCGCTTATAGTCGGAGGAAGTAAAGACTGCTACTCTACTCTTAGTGCCTTAAGTTAAAAAAAAAACAACCAACAGATGAACTCTACTTCATCTGACGTTACGACAATAGGGTCTGTTTTGTGTGTGCGCATGTTTTTTTTATGAATTTAAGAAAGCAGACTACATTAATTCCGTATTTTATAGATCTATATTAACTTGTTTTTTTTTCGCAAAGTAAAATTCAGCTGCTCTCTTTTTTTAAAATCTATTCTATAACGCTTTTTTCATCCTCCGATGTTTCTTTCAGACATCTCTACCGGAAATAGAAACAAAAAAAATTAAATAGAAAATATATCCTTCCCCTATTCCATATGTTCTAGGTTTATATCAAACATTTCATGTGTTCTTGGCCTATATCGTATATTCCATCTGTTGTATAATGCCACTCTCCAACCACCCCCTTCCATCTGCTATATAACGTATTTATTTTCCCCAGCGTAATGCCAGCGACAGGTTGGTGTCGCTGGTGGTGAATGTGACGTCACTAGAGGGCAACTCGTGCGGCGGGGTGACGTCACTTCCAGGCGTGCTTGGCAGCTTTGTGGTCAACACCGTGAATAACGAAATACGGGGTGAGTACACATTGCCTTGTCTGTAGCACGTGGTTGTGCTACAGACGTGAGCTGGACATTACCCCTCCCCGTCAATTACATCCCCTCATTACCCCAACCATATTACCCCCCCCCCCCTTGTCAATTATCTCCACCACCTCCCACCCTTCCCCGTGATTAAAAGTTCCTTTTGAACCTGAGAGTCTACCTGGGGCAAATGAGTTCACCTGTTTCTGTAACCTCGGCATATGAAGAGATAGTGTGGTCAGCACTATGCCCAGCCGCCTTTACTTTCCCTGACGTGAGTTAGAGCTGGGTGTACTCAGTGACGTGCTACTTACTTGAAAACGGATTCGAAGTCGAGTCTTTCGGGTTAGTAGTCGTATGCTCTACCATTTGACTACTCTTTCTCCCTCCCCCGTTATTATCCCAAATTAATTGGCCTGCCCCTGCCAAAAAAAAACAACCGCAGTTGGACATTATCATTATCCACCTGTCAAGTACCACCGCCCCCCCCCCCCTCCTCATTTAAAAGGGATAGGCGGACTTTAAGTGTTGCTACACCTATTTATTTAGCGCCATTAAATAAGGCAAAGATCCTAACACCCCCCACCCCACCCCAGTTAACTACAACGTAAATAAAATTTCTTCAGTAAACTGCTATTGTGAGTTATAATAACTGACTTTACAATGTTCTTAAAGTGGATCACCTCTTATTAATTGGATTAACACAAGCATCATTAGCTCGATTAATTATTGTATTGCCTCAACCCAATGATAAAAAATCGCTGTACAAGTTGTTTTTAAAAAGTAAATATTTCCTTACCCCAAATGTTACCAAATTCTCCTAGCCGCCCACGAGGCAGGTGAAGTAGAATTCACTTGTTTCTGTTACATCGGCATACGTTAGTGTGGTCAGCACTATTGTCCAGCCGCCTCGACTTTCCCTAACACAAGTCAGGTATCCGTCTAAGCTGGGTGGACTCAGGGACGTGCTGTGACTCTAGGATCTGAACTCGAGACTTTCGGGTTAGTAGTCGTACGCTCTATCATCGTTCGACCCCCCCCCCCCGTCCCATAATCTCAAACAAAAATCTAATGTGTTTCAGGCGGCGTTGTATTGGGCAAGTTGTGTATGAACAAGGGCAGCAACTACACTGTGAATGTAGCAGGCACAGGGCCGAGTGTGCTAGTGGACTCAGTAAGTCAAATTGCTCCATAAAAAAATTGGTAAAAATTAAATTATTTAAGATTTGATCATAAATCGACTGACATGCAATCTTAGAAAGGTTCTTCATTTTCGTATGACTATAGTCCTAATAAGGCTAACTATAGTTTTAAATCTCTAACATGAATTTATAAAGTACTATTAACATCGCTACACATTAATTTTGAACGATTATTGTAGCCTTTTACTTGGTTCGCAATTCTTCTTTTTCTATGAGATTCTATTCTATTTTAAGACCGTTAATAATTAAACATGGATTTAAAATCATGTGTATATCCCGAGTTACCAGCCACCGTAGTATTATCTATATATATATATATATATATATATATATATATATATATATATATATATATATATATATATATATATATATATATATATATATATATATATATATATATAATTCTCTTCTTGGAGACGATAGAAAACACCGAGCGCGCTCCCTACTACCCCCACCCCTACATGGTCTGGTGAGTTGTGGTTCACGCTAAATGTTTACAATCGTAGAGCCGAGTTTAGTGACGACTATTAGGGGCAGATAATTTAGTTTGAAACGATTTTAAATTTAGGGGAGGTAACTAAGAGGAGTTTACTTTCACGGGGGGGGGGGGGGGGGGGGGGGGGGTTATCGTCCTTAACGAGCTACTGATAGTGTTTTAAAGCAAATATTTTCAATGTCAGCGTTGGTACTGTCGAATTCACAAATTATGAATTACTGAACAGTAGAAAATAAAACAAATAAATAGCGGCGTATGATTATACATCATACGCCGCGGGTCGGCTCGTATAAGAATATTCGAGAAAGATTAGGGGAGATCACTCCCGGTTTATCAATTACTTAACCTTTTAAAATTGAATAGAATGTCGTAGAAATAATAAATACGTAAAAACGTTTATAAATACAAGCTTTTATAAATGCACTCAAAAGAAGAAAATTATACAATTTTTATTAAATACAAAATAATTGTTAAAAATATAATAAATCTGCGGTTACTTTAAATATAAAAAAATTATTTTCTTTAAATATATTAATGCACTACTATTTATATCACTATTATTAAAAAAGCGTGGGCCGGGTGGGCCGCTATAATAATAAGTATTTAAACAAGCGGCCCACGCTTTTATTTATAGTGATATAAATAGTAGTGCATTAATATATTTAAAGAAAGTATTTTTTTTTTTTATATTTAAAGTAACCGCAGATTTATTATATTTAAAAAAAATATTTTATATTTAATAAAATTGTATTAGTTTCTTCTTTTTAGTGCATTTATAAAAGCTTGTAATTATAAACGTTTTTACGTATTTATTATTTTATACTTTTTAGTATTAACGAGTTATACGCATGTTAAGACAATATAGTGTAGCAACAAATATATGATACACAATTTGAAACACAGTTTTGCTTTAATAATATGATTAGTTTTACTATACGTGTCACATTTACTGATGTTTTTAGTTACAATCCAAAAATTGCCACAATTAGCTGAACACATATCATAGAACACCTCTTTAACACCTCTTGAACCGAAGACATTAATACTGTTCAGTATGTGGTCAAGTTTATAGCTAAAGTTTCAGTAAAGTATTATGGGATGGCTTAGTCTTCTGGTAAAGAACTAGACTGCTGACCCGACTAAAAACCATTGCGCGCCTATTGAACGTGATGACGCGCTGTTGTCATAGAGCCCCCCCCCCCCCCCTTGCTCCACACCCAAGACGGCCGTGATGACGCGTGTGGATAGAACTGCCTACTAATTCGGTTCAAATTTTAATTAATTCATAAAAATTAATTAGGCGACCAATGAAGTCAAATTGAATGTCACGATGCATTGTCTTCATGTCTGACCCATTTACCAACTACGAACCGTCTCTGTCAGTTAGAAGTGCCTGCAATTTCACACGGACATTTCGATCTAGACTGACCATTGACGCTAGAGGAAGTGAGTTAAATAAAAGCTTGTAAAAAGGTGGTTGATAGAAGAGAATAAAAATAGAAAAATGAATTCAAAGTGTGTTTACACTGTCTCTAACAGATAGTTTTTATACCGGACACAACGGCCGTCGTGACGTCACTATCTAACCGATTGGACATTGACAGTATGAAGAACTGTGTCACCATGGCAGCGACCAAAGTGAGGTCAGCTAGAGCGAGCTGTGCCAGCATTGAGTACAGCCTGATGGCCAGTCTGCTGAACGGTTCTGTGGGTGAGTAGTCAGCGGGTCAGGCGCAGGTCAAGTGGGTCTGTGTGGTTGTCTACGCAGGTCAAGTGGGTCTGTGTGGTTGTCTATGCAGGTCAAGTGGGTCTGTGTGGTTGTCTATGCAGGTCAAGTGGGTCTGTGTGGTTGTCTACGCAGGTCAAGTGGGTCTGTGTGGTTGTCTATGCAGGTCAAGTGGGTCTGTGTGGTTGTCTACGCAGGTCAAGTGGGTCTGTGTGGTTGTCTATGCAGGTCAAGTGGGTCTGTGTGGTTGTCTACGCAGGTCAAGTGGGTCTGTGTGGTTGTCTACGCAGGTCAAATGGGTTTGTGTGGTTGTCTACGCAGGTCAAGTGGGTCTGTGTAGTTGTCTAATGTATGAAGGTCAAGTGGGTCTGTGTGGTTGTCTACGCAGGTCAAGTGGGTCTGTTTGGTTGTCTACGCAGGTCAAGTGGGTCTGTGTGGTTGTCTACGCAGGTCAAGTGGGTCTGTTTGGTTGTCTACGCAGGTCAAGTGGGTCTGTATGGTTGTCTACGCAGGTCAAATGGGTTTGTGTGGTTGTCTACGAGGTCAAGTGGGTCTGTGTGGTTGTCTACGCAGGTCAAATGGGTTTGTGTGGTTGTCTACGAGGTCAAGTGGGTCTGTTTGGTTGTCTAAGGTATCCCACCCCTCCCCCCCCCCCCCCCCCTCACACACACACTACACATTGTCAATCATCATCACACAAAAATGCAGTCATTCCACCAGTTTTCTGTTTTTGTGGGAAAATGCAGGGTTTAGACAGCGTTTGGTCTCTGTGAATTCTAAATATTTTGTGAATTGTTATGAAAATTGATCAAGACAACTAAAATGTCAGAACATCTACTTCTATGAAATATAAATTTCCTTATTAAGGGAAACTACTCAAGTATTATTTTCAAAAAATCGTACTACCTTGGTTTCATCCCCTTAATAAAATAAAAGACTTTAGTCACAATATAAATGTGAGTCTTTTGTTGGGAACTAGTCTGACTTTTGTAACGATTGGTAAATGAGGGGGTAAAAAAAGCGGCTAAAAATGGATGACACTTTGGTAGCTACTAATACTTTCAGACAGTAAGAGTTTTACCGGAAAAAAAATATTCTAAAAAGCCTGCGAGAACGAACTTTTTTTTTTATTACTTTTAGCATGTTCGTGTCAATCTGGAGCCCTCAAAACTGGCATGTGTGACCGGATGAGTGGGGACTGCGACTGTTTGCCAGGAGTTTTGGCACCAGACTGCAGCTACTGTCCTGCTGATCATTATCAGTTTTCGTTAGCAACTGGATGTTTAGGTATGTCTTCCTTTTTTTTTTATTGTTAGGCTGATTAATTCTTTATTACTTTGTTATACAACACTTATCGCATACAGCATGAAAACTGTCTCATCATGTTGATTAAGTCTTTTTCAAAATTTCTGAATGTCATAAACTACACTAGATCTAGGCCTAGCTTTGTTCTTAAAATTTTTAGGCCAAAATGTTAAAATAAATTGTAAAATATAAAAAGTTTAGTTAAGGGAAAAAATAAAATCCTTATCATTATGGAGTAGAATCTATAGAATCTATACTAAAATAAAAATAGTAAATAGGCTATTAATATATAATATATCATTAGTCTAGATAATATGATCATTAATTAAAAAAATTCTAGAGTATTGACCAAGCCATATGCTTATGATTTTGTTCAAAGAATTTTTTTTCCAAATTGATTTTATTTTTAAAAATCACATTTAATAAAAATCACATGTAATAATACTGTATTTGACAATATTTCTTCAGCATGTTCCTGCAGCCAGAATGGATCAGTTGACCCATTCTGTGATTCTAAAGGAAGTTGTACATGTCTGCCCAATGTCCAGGGAACAAAATGTGATGCTTGTATCTCAGAATATTATGGCTTGTACACAAGTGAGAATTTCTCTGATATAAAAAACAATTTTTTTAAAACTTCTCGTAGATTATAGATAGATTTGTTTCTTTAAGTTAAAGACAGAAAACTGACTTAAGTCTTGATTAAAATTAGTCTAAGAATTAGATCTATCATCTAGTATTCTGCATTAAAGGCTAAAGCAGATTTGGTCATTTTTATTCCAAGGATGAAATGTGGTGCATTGCTTGTCTCATATTTTATTATTGTTAAATAGGCTTACCTCTGTGCTATGTTTTAAAATGACCTGAAATTGTAAAAATTAAAAAGAATTTTAATTTTGTGTTTCTTGTCTGAGCAGAAACAGGGTGTAAACAATGTGCCTGCAGCCCTAAATACTCTCTCAACAACAACTGTGATGATCATGGTGTCTGCCTGTGTAAGCCTGGTGTTAGGGGCCCAGTGTGTGATGGATGCATGGATGGGTAGGTAGAACTGCTAAATTGGTGACCAATTTTCCAAATTGTAGATTTTATCAGTTTATTTGGCCTCATGAAGAGAGCACTTAGCAAGATGGATCATGATGCTTAGGCAACCCATAGTCTCTTCATTTGCTGCATAGGTAAGCTCCCCTGTAAGCAATCATACTTCTCTTGGTGAGATTCCATTGTGTCAGAGACAGAAGGAGATTGTTTGGCCAAAACAAAACTAAGTAGACTAACTTATTTTGGCTTATGCCAAGTTTTCTTTATTAGAGCAGGATATGCTAAAAGATCTTTGGCGTGAGACCTTCAGAGGTCTCTGGGTCCACACAGCTCTGATGGGTACTTAACTAATGTTAAGGAAACCAAGCCGGCTGGGCATAGTGCTGACAACACTATCCCCCTGTATGCCCAGGTAATTGAAACAGATACACTCTATTTCATCTGCCCCATGTGTCTTGGGCATGAATGAGGAGAGATAATGATGATGCTAACAGATTATTTTACAGGAATTTAACGCTAAATTTCTGGTCAACAACCAAAACGTCAGCAAATGGACCAAGCAGTCAGCAAACAATCACATTTTTTATATTTGACCAAGTTTTCACAGTCATACACTCACACATATGGGACAGAGTGGTCTAGCGGTAGAGAGCTGGAGTGCTAACCCGTAAGTCTCGAGTTCGAGTCAGTAGACCGTCCCTGAGTCCACCCAGCTCTGATGGGTACCTAACTCACGTTAGGGAGAGTAAAGGCGGCTGGGCATAGTGCTGACCACACTATCTCTTCATATGCCGAGGTCACAGAAACAAGTGAACTCTACTTCACTTGCCCCATAGACCATCAGGTTTGAAAGGGAAACTTTTACACTCATATAGACATACCTCTGTAGCTAAGTGAATATCATTTCCTTTTGTCCAACCAGATACTACAACTTGACAACAGATGGCTGTACACAGTGTGCTTGTAACCCTAATGGTAGCATGGCCCAGTCTTGTAATGTCAACACAGGAAGTTGCCAGTGTCTCCCTAGTGTAGAGGGAGCTGCTTGTTCCCAGTGTAAAACAGGTACTCACTGACACATGAACACACAAATAGACACAATCGAACTCAAGAATAGACACACTTAAAGAAATGCTATGTGATTTTCAATTCAGTTAGCTCTTCAACCATAAACATCTAAATCTCTAAGTATTTCTTGCCTTTCTTCTATACTGTAAATTACTATGGAGACCACTAATATTTCCTAGGCTTAGTGATCATTTAAAAACTCAAAAGTAATGTGATAGGGTGGATATGTTGTTTTGGGATACATTCTTCAAAGAAAAGTAAAGCCAATGGTCGTCTAATACATTAGCAAAAGCATTTCTAGTTTTTTTTAAAAGGGTACAAGAAGTAGTGTTCATGTTCTTAAAATTTGTGGACCAGGATTTGTATGTACCGTAACTGATAGTGAAAATATTTGATTAATTAATTCAACATTCAGTGTAGATTTTAATGTTTACCTCCTGTATTGATAAGAAGTGTGTTTAAATAATAAAACAGCATGTTGAAATGTTACTGCAGGTTTTTATGGTCTTGGGAAGTGGAGCCCAAATGGTTGTTTCCCCTGTTTTTGCTGGGGTCATGGTCAGGCCTGCACATCAGCCAGTGGCTGGTACGACACACCTGTGTCCAGCACATGGGGGCCTTCATTAGGGACAGATGGGTGGACAGCAGAAAATTCTAGAAAAGTCAGCATTCAGCTACAAACAGACCAGTAAGTTATCTATAGGGCTTCTTTATCAAATAAGTCAAATTATGTGTGTGTGTGTATATATATATATATATATATATATATATATATATATATATATATATATATATATATATATATATATATATATATATATATATATATATATATATATATATGTATATATGTTACATTTTAGGTAAATGTGTCTGTTTTGTTTATTTTTAGATTTATTTGTTAGATTTACAATGCAAATTAATCAAGTATTGTTATGGTTTTCTTAATTGATAACTTATTATTTTATTTTATTGCATTTGCAATTAGAGTTATTACAGTATTATCCTAGTTTTCTGAATTGATAACTTAATGTTTTATTTTATCTTGTAGGTTTGCAATGAGAATTAACCAAACTTTGTTGTCCACTGAGGATGTGTATTATGTTGCCCCTATTAAGTTCCTTGGTGACAGAAAATCGTCTTATGGACGTTATCTAACTGTCACTGTTGCGCCGTCGAACCCAGTGCTAGTTCTAGATCCAGTCCAGTTGCAAGTTGAGCTTAAAGGAGCTTACATTAACAACACTTTGGTGTACACAGCTAATGTTTCCAGCACGTCTGCAACTTCACTTCTCACCTACAATGTCAGTAGCATCAAAATAAATTATTAATGCAATTTTTTAAAAATGTACCAATTTATTACCTGTGCTAATTTTGAACCTGATAAATCACAATCATTAAATTTATCGTTCGGTGACTTTGTATCTAATAAAGATTGTAATAAGGATATGATTAAAAACTTTCCCAGTTCAACAAATATTAATTATGTTTAATTTCTGTTATAATTAAACTGGTTAAATAAGGATTAATTGTAAACAGAGTAAAAAAATCGAGCATATTTTATAGTGTCATTTTGAGAGACAAGTTATAGAATGACTAAAAATATGAGTGATTAAAAATTGGTGGCTTTTGTAAAAATAATAATTTGACTACATCTTAAACAAAAATAATTTAAAATGTGTTTATATGCTGTATTATAAATCAATACTTTGAATACTTCATTTTTACAAAATGTATTAAATTTATTTCAGATTCCTTTAACTGAGCTTAATTGGCAAGTTGTAACAAAAGTTCTGACCACAGCTGACAATGTAACAGTTATCAATATCTCTTACCTGGGCAATGCAAGCTACTACCAGTTCCAGGGGACCTTGGCCAACTTGGCTGCTCTAAGCATCAGAGGCTATAAAGGAAATGTAAGTTGAGCTAAGCCCTACCACAATGTGTCATACCTTGTACTATAGAGGCTATAAAGGAAATGTAAGTTGAGCTATGCCCTAACACACTGTGTCTGTTGTGTCATACCTTGTACTATAGAGGCTATAAAGGAAGGAGATGTAAGTTGAGCTATGCCCTAACACACTGTGTCATACCTTGTACTATAGAAGCTTTAACTATAGTCCAGGGTCTCAGAAAACAGAGGTACTCTACTTTGTGGTCTGTCAGGAATGAAGGAATTTATTTTTACTTATTACTGTTATTTTTACTATCTGAACTATCCAGGTCACAAATTCATCTTTGGATCTGATTAGTATTGTCATGTCAGAAAGAATTTATTTTTACTAATTAATGTTATTTGTACTATCTGAACCATCCAGGTTACAAATTCATCTTTGGATTTGATTAGTGTTGTCATGTCAGAAAGAATTTATTTTTACTCATTAATGTTATTTATACTATCTGAACCATCCAGGTTACAAATTCATCTTTGGATTTGATTAGTGTTGTCATGTCAGAAAGAAATTTTTGTTACTAATTAATGTTAACTCTGCCTATCTGCACCATCCAGGTTACAAATTCATCTTTGGATATGATTAGTGTTGTCATGTCAGAAAGAAATTTTTGTTACTAATTAATGTTAACTCTGCCTATCTGCACCATCCAGGTTACAAATTCATCTTTGGATATGATTAGTGTTGTCATGTCAGAAAGAAATTTTTGTTACTAATTAATGTTAACTCTGCCTATCTGAACCATCCAGGTTACAAATTCATCTTTGGATATGATTAGTGTTGTGCTGGATGGCGCCACATTTACCAACATCCCTGGGAGTGGTTCTGTAAATAATGTGGAACTTTGCACCTGCCAGAAAGAATACACAGTCAGTATATAAGGCCTATATATTTGTATCTGCTGTGAGAGATGTGCTGTTGTCTGATAGTAAAAAGATTGTTGAGGGATTACTTGCACTGTATGTTGATTGTTCGGATTGGATGATGATCGTCTTAAAAATGTTTTTTTTTAACCTATAAGCTCAAGTAACTAACAAAATAATTTCAATAAATGTGATATACCAGCACTCTAAAACATAGGCAGCATCTATTACAATCTGTGTGTGTGTGTCCCCCATACATCCAAACAATAAACTTAACACCTCTTTCTTGATGTAGATGTCAGTAATGAATGGCCCCATAGATCTATAACCAGTGTGAATTTATAAACAGAAATACAATTCAAAATAGAATTAATTATTTTATGTGTTGTGTATGTATTTTTATTTTTAGAATATTACAAACATTTTAAAAATATATTGGCCTACTTCTTCTGGAGTGTGTTTTTTTTTAATTTCCATCTATTTTGCACTCTAAGTCTGTAATATATGCTGAGGTCTTAAATATTACTTGTCTAATTTGTTTTTAGGGAACTAATTGTCAGAAATGTGCTAATGGCTACACTAGGGTGTTCCCTAACTCAACTGACCCTAGTGGTCAGTGTGTTCCCTGTAACTGTAATGGGCATGGAGTGACATGCACTGGAGAAAACTGCTCCACAGTTGCAGCCCCTTGTGACCCTGACACTGGGGTGTGTACATGTCAACACAATACAAAGGGAGATCACTGTGAAGTATGCATGCAGGGGTATTATGGGAACCCACTCAGAGGAACACCAGGTATATTTTTGTGTAGTTATTCTGGTACTCAGGATTGAATATAAATTTGGTTGTCCTTATAGACATAAATTAATGTAGGGATGGACTTTATGACTTTAAAAAAACTTAGAGAAAAACTGCTTGAGAATGTCCCCTGACTGAAAGTTTAACTGGACTAGTTTATATTGTTAAATCACTGCATTATTTATATTTTATAATTAGATTTAAAAGCCCCACCCCCTAGAATAAGAATTAATGTCAACTGGTAAAATACTGGAGTTATCTCTCTTAAACTAATCAATCTGAAGTTATCCCCCTCCTCCTCCTCAAAACCAGAAAACTTAAAATTAAGATCAGACAACAATAGCCAGACTATGTTTATGGCCAGGTGCTGCCTCGTAATAATCTGATGACTCTTAATGTTCTGCAAGTTTCCATCTTTTGATCAGAAACTGTTCTAGCTATGCTAAGGGAACATGAGTAATAAAGATATAGGCCTATTAGTTAACCTCAGTTTAAATTATCAATGTCATAACAATTTAGTTTAAAAAAGTATTAAAAGTCCTGAAATGAAACATCCATATGTAATATTTTAGAATCCAATATTCATCTTTCTTCCACAGTGGATTGTGCCCCTTGTTCATGCCCAGGTGTCATAACTGCTAACGCAACAAATGCATTTGCAACCTCCTGCACACTGGTTGGCAACTCACCTGTGTGTCAAGACTGTAAAGAAGGACACACAGGCAATGCATGTCAAGTCTGTAAAGATGGCTACTTTGGTACTCCAGAGAATATTACTGTAAGTTCTGACATTGGTGATGTGAGATGTGTTGTACTGCTGTAGTAAATATTGCTGGGATGTCTAGATCTAAAAACTGATTTTTTTTTTATACCAAGTAAAGTCATAGGACAGTGTAATTGTACGCGGGGTATTCATAAGAATGAAACAACTTAGTAGAGCACCTTTTTCTTTAATTGAAAGTTTGCTGTGGTAGGATTTTAGTTGTGCTGAATCAATTGTTTTATTGTTTATTCCAAATTGTGTTTTTGAGAATTTAAGTTATTTTAATTTCATAAAAGTTCTGATGAATCATCCTTTAAAGACGGAACACTCCAAAGAGGGGAGGATGGGGGTTGAACTTTAGCATCTGTGTGTGATGAGTGGGAAGGAGCAGAGTTTCTACAGACATCTCTCCTGGGAGGGGGGGGTTAATGATCCACCAGGGATCTGATTATAGAAAAGGGAAGGAAAAAAATGAGTTATGTCTTCTCTGGACAACCCCTGACATGCTTTGCTTATATTGGTACAATGTTCCAGAACTTTGGTGGAGCGTGTAGGCAGTGTCAGTGTAATGGGCGGGCAAGCACTTGTGACACAAGAACAGGAAATTGTTCGGCATGTCAGAACAACACAGCTGGTCAAAACTGTGAACTCTGTGCATCTGGTTACTATGGTGACGGTGATCCCTTGACTCTTTCTTGCAAACGTAAGTGGCGTTTGGTATTTTTTAAAATTTTATTCAGGATCTTGCCATTACTGATTACATCAGCAACAAAACTGCCTTAGGCAAAAATGGTAGATCTACAGGCTAACTAGCTTAATTAACCTAGTCATCTTTTGTCAAAGGCTGTTTTTGATAGGGAACCTGTTACTACAAGCTCTGATAAATGTTAGTTATAATAAAACAAATAGGCATAAAATTGATTACAGCTTTAATTTTATTTTGAAGACATATTTTATTAATTAGAGAGAATTTTAAATAGTATAGATTTGAGATGAATGGAAATTATTGTAGATCATATATCAATTCCAATTTAAACAGTGAATGCACTGACAAAACTAGATAAAATAGGCAACAGGTGAGACTATAATTAAATAATTATTTAATTTTAAATTGTTATATCTCATCACTTGTGTTCTCATCTAGGAACTAGCATGCATGATTTCTATTTTTAACTTTACCCTGCTTCTTGTTTTACAGCCTGCACATGTCAAAATATGACTGGCAGTTCAGGGCTGTGTGATCACAAGACAGGTGTTTGCCAATGTTTACCAAATGTTTATGGTCCAGCTTGTGATGTGTGTGAGAATGAATCTTTTAACCTTACAGCAGGCAGAGGCTGTGAGCTTTGCAACTGCAACACAAATGGATCAACAAGTACAGTTTGTGACAAGGTTTGCCTAAACTAATGTGGTCCTGTACTGCAGTTTGAGTCACTTAGCACCTAAGTTTTTTATTTTAACATGATCCTTAAAGGCTTTTAATGCTAATTTCAATAGTGAATACTGTTAAAAAATCAGATCAATATTCCTTAAGTTATTATTATTATTCTGATAAATTTCAACTTTACTATCTGGCATCTTTATACCAAGTATTTTAGCTTGCAACTTTCAGAAGACAATTTTATTACTTTCACTTTTCTATGTTTTGAAACTTTTACCAGAAATATATGCGCATATGAAATAGCCTACATTTATAACTAAAATCCCAAAATGATATATACAAGACCCTCTTCTCATAATTTTAATTTTTGGCCCTTTATCAAAATAGCTCAATCTGAATAATGATTCAGTTTTTCAAAGAGAGTCGTACTAACTTAATTTAAAAATGGTTAGATATTTTACAAAAATGAAAGCTACTGTTCTAAAAATGCTTTAACACAAATGAGGCAGACAACTACAGTGTTCGCCAACTGTTAACATTTCAAACAAATAACCTTTATGAGTGAACAATTATGGTAGGTCTACTCTAGATTTTGTTACGTAGGTTGTAAGTTTATTACATAATTTGTATGTAGTATATGTTTTATAACAACCTTATAGCAATTTAAGTTTTGATTGTTACATTGTGAAGTTAATTTTATCCAATCTCTTTAGTATCACTTTTCCTATTCTATGGGAAAAAAGTTTTGCAAACTTTATTTATTTATTTTAATAAAATATTTTTACTTGCTTTTTCCCAGACTATTTTGTACTATGCCGAGAACATTAGAAATTAGTAAATGACATTTATTTTGTTAAACATATCTGCTATAATTACTCCCTTTTGCAATTTATTTTAAGCAATTTGCAGAGTAATATATAGAAATAATGAGATTTATGGTTAACTTCTTATTCATTCTAAATTGTATTTATGTTCTAGGATTTAAACAAGTCCAACTTTGTGAATGAACTGGAATGTGGTCTCCATGGTTAACAAAAAATAACTTTTTCTACAGATAACTGGCCAATGCCAATGTAGGGCTTTGGTCACTGGAAGACTGTGTGATCAGTGTCAGGCAACCTACTGGAATGTCAACCCTGTCACTGGATGTGATTGTAAGCTGTTTACATACATCTATTGACATGCTCTTTACAATCTCACAGACAAATCCCATTTTTAAAAGTTTTACAGAAAACTTGCTATAATTTTAAGTAAAAATTCAAGTAAAATTTAAAAAATGATGAGCCTAGTGTAGTAAATTAAAAACTTAGTATATTTTTTTGCTTAATCTTGTATTTACTTAACAGTATTATCTATCATTGGTTTCAAACATTGAAGTAATAAAAAATTGCTACTTTTTTAGTCATTAGTTTCAAACATTGAAGTAATAAAAAATTGTTTCTTTTTTGAGTCATTAGTTTCAAACATTGAAGTAATAGAAAATTGCTTTTTTTTTTAGTCATTGCAAAATTATAATTTTTTTGGGTAATTATTTTCTGAAAAAGTATTCCTCGTGATAAAATGGCAAATGTGTAAATTTCACTTCAGCGTGTCAGTGTAATGCTACTGGTACAGCTAAATTTGTGAACGGAACAGCTCAAGATTCATGTGATGTCAGGACAGGGCAGTGTGTCTGTGCTTCTGCAGGGATTGTTGGTAGAACTTGCAACGCCTGCTCTCCGGTATCAAAATGTAAATTTTTACAAGTTTTTTAAAATATATTAGAGTATTAGACTTTTATTTTTGTGAATATTTTTAAAAATTACTAAACTGTGCCTACATGATCAAGGGCTCCATAAGCATTATGACTCTGCTATCACGAAATAATAATGTGATTTCCATCGAGTAATGCTAGAAAACTTAGTTTTCAAATGATAGTCGTAGCTATTTAATACAGTTATTTAAAATGTGTGGCTGACTGTTATTGGAAAGTGGGTAGACCAAGAAATTCATTGATGAGGACTATAGAAACGGATGCAAAGACTGTGGGACTGACAAGGGCTTAACTGAAGGGATCTTACCAGAAAGGAGTATTATTGGGAAAAGTGTGGCTACAGCTCTTTGCTCCACAGGGAAAAGTGTGGTTACAGCTCCTTGCTCCACATGGAAAAGTGTGGTTGCAGCCCTTTTCTCCACAGGGAAAAGTGTGGTTGTCACCCTTTTCTCCACAGGGATAGTGTGGTTGCAGCCCTTTGGTCCAGGCGGGCCTAACAAAATTAACACTCCCTTAACTGGTTCAGAGTTCTTAAACTTCATGTATTGTTCAAATTGGTTTTTTTTTGTTATTGTTGTTGTTGCACAGCATGTTTTTCAAGTTGTAAAGTCCAGTAGAACTGATGCGCTTTTACTCCACTGTACATGTATCATAGATTCCCCATTACTGATTAATCCACAATTCTCATATTGGAGTTAAGAAAGAAATAAAAATTATTTTTTATACACACTTTTCTTTTTCTTTTCCAGATACATTTCAATATGTTCATTTGTTTAATCTGGGTAAGTTCTATTTAATTTTCTTTTGAGATGAGCTTTTAAGTTGACTTTTATGACTGACTGATGTAACAGGGAAACTCTACTTCCTTTGTCTTATAGACTGTCACCTCATTTGTCACTGATAGTGCACATATCATTGACAGAGACATATGTTTTCATTATAACATACTTAGCTTATGTATTTACTTGATAAAACTCCAACATAAAAGGATACTATACATGGTAAAATTGTTTGTTCCATAGGTGCCTACCCAGACTGTACCCTGTGTGGGGAGTGTTTTGACTCCTGGGGTCAGAGGATTGATGAACTAGGGAAAGGTTTGGATGAAATGGATGATAAAGTTGATGTTATATGGAGTCAGTACAGTAAGTTGAAGTTATGTTCTGTTAATTTAATTTCAGTTAAGTAATTATTATTATAATAAAGTAAGTATAGTCTTAGTACATGACATTTTCATCTACTATGAATAGTTTTTATATATTAAGTATTATCTAGTATTTTCCAGTGTGAATATATTTATCACAATACATGTGTCCTAACAATCTAAATCCTATTTTTATTCTTTTATTGTGTGTGCAGATAACCAATCCAGAGAAGAAGTCAAATCAGCCCTGGCCAGAATTGAGGAAAAAATAAACCAAACTGACATATTGGTGGCCAACTTTGAATCTATTTCTAAGCAGTTACAGAGGCTGCAAGTACAGTTTTCTGAGGTATCATTAAATTTTATTTTTCAAATTTAGTTTTTGAAAAAAATTAATTTAGTAACACCTTAAAACATAATTTTATCATTTTCAAACAGTGTTATTTTCATAAAAGTTAATGATTTAATCCCATTCACTTAACTGCATAATGTAATTAAATGTAATTAACTATATTGAATTTTAACATTGGCTAACCAATTAACATTTTGTCATGAGGTCATCTTCCTAGCAATTTTCCCAAAATTAAAAATTTCAAGTAAGCTTTATATTTTTAACATTCACTAGATTAATACAGTTATTGAACTTTAATTGTTTTTTGTTTGTTATTTTCTTTTTTTTTTTGCTTGTAAAAATTTTTTTTTTAATTTTGGATTTTTAAATTTTGTAGGCATTTTCAAGACTGACCAACATTTCCACTGAAATAGAAATTTTAACCCAGTCCGACCAACACCTGGCCACCACCCTGAACTCTCTTGTGTCTGATGTTGTGGGCAACAGCTCTACTACAACTTTATCCAGTGTTCGTACACAACTGGATAATCTTATCCTTGCTGCACAGGTGAAAAAAATAAGTTGACTCCACAGCCATACTTTGTGTCATTTTATTCATCACAGTCATTCGCTTCAAAGCCCTAAAATTGTGTGAGAAACATTTTACCAATCATTATTCATCTTACTTAGGCAACAATACTTCAAGGCAACAAATCATGGAGTGAAATTCAAGCATTGTCATTTGTGGTTGCTTCCCCTGAGGATAAGAAAAAGCAACTCCAGGATCAAGGCAAGAAGTTGATGGACTTGGCTAATCTAGTTAATGTGACATATATCAGTTTAAGTAAGTTCTTTACTCATCTGTCATTTTTCTCAATAATTGTTAATCAACTATTTTTTAACAGTGTCATGTGTTAATTTTAAGATTTCTTAATACAGTTTTAAAATGTAATTACTAGTAGATTAATTTTATCTATTGGATTATAATATCACAGCATGTTTTTTTTAAATTTAGGCTACACAATCCTTCTAACCTTCAGAATCACCTAAATGTTTAACATGACTAAGACTTCGTTTTGGCGCATATCATTAAAAATTTCCTTTTTTTTAAGACCTAATGATCTAGCTCATACTTTGTGAGCTATCCTATTGTAAATGTGTATCCAATTTGTTAATGTACATCACACAATTTATTTAAAATCATATGAAATATTAGTCCTCCAGTTAATTTATCATAGGTTATTTTATTGCCCACCATTGTTTTGTAAGTTAAAGTTAAATTTACTGGCTCCTGTAAAACTTTTATGTAATTACTTAGTCTATTATCATTATCTGATTTATTATTGTGTTTTAGAGTCCCTGTATGAGACATCGCTGATCTCTGGGGTTGATGACCGTGGTAAAAATATCAACACAACACTTGAAAAACTGGCTAATATCAGCAACTCTCTACAAGAAGTGGCGTCCACCATCACACAGATACAGCAGGATGCTGCTGCAGCAGACGTCTCCGTGAGATCTCTGATTGGTCAATCTACTAAAACACGGTCAGACATATTGGATGCTGTCATGCGCTTACAGGTAAGTTTAAATAAACATTAATATAGGATGGCTTGATTGGAGAGTGTTTGGCTGCTAGCCCAAAGGTCTGGAGTTCAGATCTTGGTATGGATCTGTGACAACAACACTGAGTCCACTCAGCTCTGATGGTACCTGACTTACGTTGGGGAAAGTAACAGCAGCTGAGATCAGCCTTGACCAAGTCTTTGTGCATTGGGCATGATAGTGATATTTAATATGTTCTGCCACTGAATTTTATTCTTTTTTGTCTAGGCCTGTATTATTTTTAGCCTATTTTGTTTTAGCAATATGTTGTTAATGCGACTGGAGCTCAAAATGCAGCAGACAAGGCACTTAAAGATGCTCTCAGTTTTAAGGTCAGTTGAGTTTTTGTTTCATGAATTATTGTGCGTTCTATTCTCATTTTAGAAAAAATTTTATTCATCTTATTTATAACAGTCTTTTTTTATATTGCTTTTTGGTTTTTGAACTGAATCACAACATGAAAATATTAAGAGCATTAGTGTGTTGTAGAATCTATTCATAGTAATAAAAAAAAAGTCTTGAAACTAAATTTTACAAAATCATTTATTTTATAAATCAATTTAGGCCTATATCTCTTATAAATGTTTTTTATAGCCCAACAGTAAGAAATAGAATACAACTTAAGTATTTAAGTAAAAGTGTTGAATGTGTTTTAAAAAAAAAAAAAATTTTCTATATAACTATCTATTTATCTATCCATCTATCAATATATTGGTAAGCCAGAAACATAGTTACTAACACTTTTCAATCAACCCCCAGACATTGGCAGTGAAAGCTGAAAACACAATGAAAGACTCCATGACCGCCATCTTGGAGAACATTGCCTCCATAACCCAAGCCCAGTCTGATCTGATAAATGCCCAGAGCCTGAGTCTGTCTGTGCAGCTCCTGCAGATGCCAGTTCTGGCAGACATGCAGGTGCTGGTCCAGCAGATCTCCACCTCAAATGTTTCTCAAGCTGCAGTCGACAGCTTGAATATTTTTGTTAAACAGGCCTTGTACAATGCTGGGGAGGCTGTTAATCAGGCCCAGAAAACATTGTAAGTATATCAGAATCATTGTTTTAATTAAATATTTGTCAACAAAAATCATAAAACAGGTGCTAAATTTTTTTTTTGTCAAATATTTTGAAAAAAAAACATAGACTACTAAAACTTATGTTAGGTCAGCAAAACTTATTTATTTTAGGATATCATTATAAGTAGTTATATTACTTTAATTCTTAATTTAAAAATAAAGTAGCTTTACAAATACAACTGCTATTTCTCATATTAACTTTCCAGGTTTAAGCACTTAAAATTCTAATTTTCGTAGGCGAGATAGCATTAGTTGTGTTAAATCTATTTAATACTGAGGTAAAATTATTAAGATTAGAACATGTGGTAAAACTTAGTAAAACTTACTGGGAGTTTTTGTTAGATTCATTCTATTAAAAGTATTGATATAAAAGGTAGTTAGATACTAACTGCCTTTGGCTGCTTTATTATTAATCTGTAAATAGGTATGAGAGCTGATACATGTATGTTCTACTAAATAGTGCATAATAATAGATTGATTGTATAAACAGGACTAAAAGTAGAGAACTGAACCAAGAAATCCAACAAATGAAAGCAGATGTGGCGACCTCTAGAGACCTGAGGAATCAAGTGGAGACAACTCTTATAGATGCTAATGCCCTCAACACCACAATCAACAATATACTACAGAATGTGAGTTCAAGCTTTCAACGTTTATTTTTGGCTTACATTTTTTTATTCTTATATGATAGTGGTATCTTAAAGTAGTCTTTACAGAAGTTAGTGGATGTGATTAAGAAATAAAATCAGAGCTGAATTTAAGATTTCACATCAGAAATTAATTTTTTTATTTCATTTTACTCTAAAAAATTTTATCACCCTCCATAAACATGCCTTAAAATATGTTTTGACTTAGGGCAATCACCTACTTAATTCTAGCACACTATAATTGACTGTGTTTCTTATGATTGGCTGACATATGCAATAAAAATAACTCATTCAAAAACTTCAAAACGTCTAGTCACTCAGTGTCTCACATGCATGTTTCCACCATCCATGTTTCCACCCATCCATGTTTCCACCCATCCATGTTTCCACCCATCCATGTTTCCACCATCCATGTTTCCACCCATCCATGTTTCCACCCAGGCAACAGATCACAGTTTTCAGGTGGATGCCAATGTTTCCACCATCCATGTTTCCACCCATCCATGTTTCCACCCATCAATGTTTCCACCATCCATGTTTCCACCCATCCATGTTTCCACCCATCCATGTTTCCACCCATCCATGTTTCCACCATCCATGTTTCCACCCATCCATGTTTCCACCCATCCATGTTTCCACCCATCCATGTTTCCACCCATCCATGTTTCCACCCATCCATGTTTCCACCCATCCATGATTCTAACCATCCATGTTTCTAACCATCCATGTTTCCACCATCCATGTTTCCACCCATCCATGTTTCCACCCATCCATGTTTCCACCCATCCATGTTTCCACCATCCATGTTTCCACCCATCCATGTTTCCACCCATCCATGTTTCCACCCATCCATGTTTCCACCCATCCATGTTTCCACCCATCCATGATTCTAACCATCCATGTTTCTAACCATCCATGTTTCCACCATCCATGTTTCCACCCATCCATGTTTCCACCCATCCATGTTTCCACCCATCCATGTTTCCACCAACCATGTTTCCACCCATCCATGTTTCCACCCATCCATGTTTCCACCCATCCATGTTTCCACCCATCCATGTTTCCACCCATCCATGTTTCCACCCATCCATGATTCTAACCATCCATGTTTCTAACCATCCATGTTTCCACCATCCATGTTTCCACCCATCCATGTTTCCACCCATCCATGTTTCCACCCATCCATGTTTCCACCATCCATGTTTCCACCCATCCATGTTTCCACCCATCCATGTTTCCACCCATCCATGTTTCCACCCATCCATGTTTCCACCATCCATGTTTCTAACCATCCATGTTTCCACCATCCATATTTCCACCCATCCATATTTCCACCCATCCATGTTTCCACCATCCATATTTCCACCCATCCATATTTCCACCCATCCATATCTCCACCCAGGCAACAGACCACAGTTTTCAGGTGGATGCCAATGTTTCCACCATCCATGTTTCCACCCATCCATGTTTCCACCATCCATGTTTCCACCCATCCATATCTCCACCAGGCAACAGACCACAGTTTTCAGGTGGATGCCAATGTTTCCACCATCACTCAGCTTGCCAAGGGTGTCCAGGCAGACATAAAAAACCTGTCCAGTTGCATCAACCAGCAAAATTTGGATGCCAATAATGCAGCAACTGCGGCCAATCAGGCACATGACAAAGCTGCAACTGTTAGCAATGTAAGGATATTTTTGTAAAAACATGGATTACTCTAGAGTTTGATTGTTTTTTATTACTATAAAAGTGAAAATAATATATTTTAACATTTTCAGAAGTAATTTTTTTTTCAGTATAATAAAATATTTAGACTTGATGGAAATTATTATTGAATAATGGTAAGCTGCTCTTGTGGAATGGTGTGGTCAGACAGTATAGCAAAATAGTATTAAGATCTGATCCCACTCTAGAGTCCATAGGACTTCACTGAGTCCACTCAGCTCTAAAGAGTACTTGAATAATGTTGGGGAAGAAAAGGTAGTGATGCATTCTCAAGAGGCTATATTTTCTAAGTTAAACTGTTCTGGACTTTGTTGAGCCATGCCAAAAAAAAATGTATATCAACTAGTGTTTTTATCCTTGTTGTTCTAGAATTTCAATATTTGTGAGTTCTTTATGCTCAGTAAGAAATAATTTTTCTGAATCCACAGGCCCAGATTAAACTGATTCAAGTTGTGTCAGGCATCAGCACACAGGAGAGTTCCTCAGACATCACCTTGGCCTTGACTAATCTAACACAGGCAGACGCAGTTATGAAAAAAGTTGAAGATGACTTTACTACGCTAAAAAATTTTGCAATATTGGAAAGTAAGTTTTTTTATTTTGTTGAATTTTTAAATTATTTTTTGATGTGTTAACAAGACATGGACATTTGTAGTAACAATTATTGTTTAATATAATTAACTAATCATTCTAATTAAGTCACAGATCGTTTAATGTTTTATTTGCGTATTTCCTACAGTTATAAAGAGGATAAAAACCTCTTTCTCACTAAATTATTTTACATAGCTCTGCCTCTCCACCTTCAACCCATTAAATATGTTCGATTATTTGCAACCTCCTCTATCCAGAAAGTCATGGAAATTAAAGGTTGCTTATTTTTAGAAATATAAATATTGCACAAAATCTAAGCCATCAATTTAAGCCATCAGAATTGAGTGTTGTCTTATGAGCTGAATTTTTACTGAACTAAAGACTTAGTGTTGATCAGTTAATAACTCTAACACTTGATTGTGCCTTCTGTTTTATTTTGTCAAAAATAACTTCAGCACTGAAGAGGTGGCATTGGCCGGAATGTTGTTGTTTTTTTTTAAGTTTGGAAATATAATAAAGTATAGAAAATCCTCATCAATCTTACTGGCGCATTTTAAAATGTTTACCATTTTGTGTCCTAGCTTTGGTACAAGCTTTAGTGAATCAAAGTATAGAAGCAACCAACTTAGACAAGGAGATAACTCAACTGACAGCTGAACTTGACATCATAATTATCTCCCTTGACAAATATGCCAGTGGAGCTGTATGCAACAATGTATAAACATTTTCAAAATTAAAGTTTTTATTCTATTATTTTACTTCACCGATCAAATTAGTTCAAAGTTAATGTCATTTTTCTTTTGGAGCACATTCAGTTTTTCTTTACAAAAGGTTTCAAACTAAAATAAAATACACATTTTTTAATGTATAAAACTGATTTAATTATAGTACTGTAATAAGCTTGAAAAGTCTATGTAATCATTCAAATTTTTTTAAAAAATCTTTTTAAACACATGGTAAGCAATAAAATTATAGTTACATTTAAAAAAATTAAAAGCTGTTTGGGAACCATTAATTACACTTATTTTCATATTTTTTTATCGGGGGTCATCCATAAATGATGGCATGCTTTTTTTGACGATTTTTACCTCCCCCCCTCCCCTCCGTCACACATCATCACAAAAAGCCAGACCCCCCCTAAAATGACGTCACACCTAAGCCTACAATCCCCCTCAAAATTGCAGTTGAATTTTTCTTAAAATCTTGTCTGAACTCTGTCAAAATAGAGTATTTTAACCAATTCCTATTGCAATTTATTAAAACAGTTTTCTAAAACGCGAAATAACGTCTAAAATTCATTTTCTAACATTGCTTTTTTATAATGAACCCCCCCCCTCCCCTCATCATACAGTCACAAAATTACGGACCTCTCTCCCCCCTGTGATTGTGACGTCATTTATGGACGACCCCTTGAATATAAGCCATTGAAAAGCTATGTTTTCAATTCTAATGTTTCTAAATACTGATCTCAACCTCTCCTTGAAGTCAACCGGAATGGCCAGGGAGAGTAAAACAGTAAAAGTCACATCAATTGTTTTTCATGATAAATACACAATAGTGCTCAATGGTGTATAATGTAGTATTGTATTTCTATTAAATAATATAACATCCCCTATCACTACAATACCCTGACTCTACTAATCCAAATTAAAAATAAAAGTGTTTGCTAAATTACTATTGCATTGCTAGTAATTATTTGTTTAACTATTTCTAGCCTTAATAAAACCAGAAGTCATTTTGTCGTTATTACACTAATGTTATAAAATATTAAATTTTGGTTGATAAATTTGCTATTCAAATTCTTTTTTTCCAAATATCTTTTAGTATGTTAGTATTGTTAGCTTGTTAGCCAATGATAAAAAAGACAATAGGCAACTGAAAATTCGACAACAGTTTTATTGCATGTTTTTTTACTTTTAAATTGTGTTTTGCTAATAATGAAAGTTAATGTCCCCGGTTTAATTAAAGATATCAAAGATTTCTTAAGATTGTATATACATATTTTTTTGTTACTGAAATTCTTTATACACCACAATACTTTTGTTGAAAATAAATGCATAATTTTTGTTTTATTTGTGTCTTGTCTTTATTTGCCTTTAATTTTAGAAAAAAAAAAGGAAACTAGACCATTACATCAATATCTTATATAGTAACTATTAATTAGAAAAGCTACACACTTATATATATATTTTTTTTTTTGTGTTACACCCACTACACTAATGTATGTGATGCTTTTAACAAGGACTCATATTAGGGTAATTAAAGATTTTTGGCACATTTGATTTTAATTGGGACTGGCTAGAGTTGGTACTTTGTGGTCAATGTTTATTTTTTTATTGTTCTTGATAATTAGTATACCCAACATCCTGCAAACATCCTGTATCACATACAATTATATAACAATAATTAAGTCAGTTTCTGATAAATGTATTGCTTTACAAAAGCATACAAATCAGCCTACAATGAAATCTTTTTATATTATTAGCTGCTGAAATTGTTAAAAAAGAAAAAAAAAATTTTTTTTAGTACAATAGTCGTCAGTACAATACTCATCACAACAATACACATTAAAGACCACAATACAGATAAAATGGCTGCCGGTCATAACCCCACTCCCGCAACATTTTATAAAATGATAAATTCAAATTTTCAATTCATAATAAAATGCTGATTTTACTCTTATGCTTGTTTTGATTCTAATTAGAATTTTTAGTTGTCATCATCATTTGTATTTATTTTTTTACATAAACATCAATCAGGGGCTATTGTCCAGGTTGGTGTCTTGGGGATTTATGACCGGCCACCAGATGAAAAAGAGTTCATAAGTTTTTAAACCATATACTTATCCAGAAACTAATACAATATAAGAAGTATTCTTACAAAGTTATGCCCCTTTCAGTCCTGACAGTAGGTATGGCAGAGGAAGTAAAGTGCATCCATTTCTCTGACCTGCATTCAAAGCAAGTGTGTGGCCCAGCTATCTTTACTTTCCCTAACATGGTCAGGTACCTCTCTCACGTGAGTGGGGGAGGGGGCAGGTGAGAGCTTTGAACATTGAACAGGCTCTGTCACCTCCCACTTTGCCTTAAAGTTCTGTGTAAATTGCTGTGATAATAATTTATTACATAGAGATATCAACTTTAAGCAAAATAATATGACAGTGTACCATCAAATCAACACAGCAAAATAATAAAATACAAACATTGACACACACAGTGTGGACCCGATGCACCTAATTCTACCAACAGCCTTCTAGATCTGGCTTGAGAACTATCGATTGATTTGGTAAATACAAGACAATCCTTCTTAAGTGCTTATTGATTACCTGAAGTGGTAGCTACCCTTACTGGTTTCTCAAATTTTATTATATTCGGCAACCCTTGTCTCATTATCACGCTTTAAGTTGTGGCTACCCCTGTTAGATTATCAAGTATATTGTCGTTGGCTAACTTTTATTTGATTATCATATGGTTACCCCCCCCCCCCCCAGTGGCGTTTATTTATAGCCTATTATATGTAGGCTATTTGCTATGTCAAGTACGTAAAACTGTAGCTTATATTATATATATCATTAAAAATGTTCAAATTGTAAAAATAATAAAGCAACACGGGTAAGACAAGTTTTTCTCTAGAGTTCAGGGGGGGGGGAGTTCTGACACGACCCCCCCCCCCCCCAACCCCTCAGCCCCTGACGAGTTGTTTCTCTGCTCATTTTGCAGTTGTTGTTTTTTTAAATATCGTTTTCTTTCAAAAAAATGTACTAAACTGTTAAAAGTTTATATTTTCTTTATAAATTCCATTTTGTTTGGGGGGGGGGGGGGGTGGTAGACTTTCTTCGTGGGGGGGGGGGCGGAGAAACTCGGGGGAGGGGGGGGGCGGAAGAAACTCTGAATAGAGGGGGGGGAGTGGAACATCCACTCAGCTATGTGGTCTACTAAACACAATGGGTTGATACATAAATGACGTTTTACTTTAAAAAATAATTTTTACATACCCCCCTCATTGTTACAAAAATCCAGATCTCCCTTTCCCCCCCCCCCCCCCCCCCACTTAAATAAGGTCACACCTCAGCCCAAAAAAAACCCTCAAAATTGCAGTTTACTTTTTTTTAACATTGATTTATTTTTAAAATATAAACGGAGCATGGTCAACATAGAGTATTTTAATCATTTTCTATTACAATTGATTAAAAAAGTTTTCTACAACCAAAAATAACGGCTAAAATTCGTTTTTTAACACTTATTTTAATGCAAAAGTGCGACGTCACACTATCTAAACTCCCCCCCCCCCCCAACATCCCCTATTTATCGCACATTGTTTCAAAATTACGACCCCCCCCCCCTCTCTTCTATGAGTGTAACGTTATTTATGGATGACCCTAACTAAGCCAAGCAACATTAACATACATCAAACATTCCCTAAATACTTAAACGTGTTCGTGGCAATGGTAGGTGGTAGATTGTAAAGATAGCAAATTTTACTGCTGGTACTGCCATCCAACTGATCCGCCAGACGGTAATACAGACAGAGCTTGTTTTGGCTGCATAGCGTTGCACAATGGATCGGCGATCTGTTGGGGAAATATAATTTTATGTTGTGATAAAAATATGAAATAAACATGGGTGGGAATGTGTGGAGGGGGCAGGGGGGGGGGGGGGTGTCAAGGGAGTTAATAAAAATAAATAAATCGAGCCGGCCATTTTGTGTGGTCACTGTACAGGGTTGGTTATATAGTAACTAAAATACCCCCCCCCCTCAATCTACCATGACCAAATGCATGCTACGCCTGTAGGTCATGGTATAAGAAATGAATAGGAAGCGAACCCGAGTTCTCGGGTTGATGTTCACACGCTCTACCGCTCGACCACACCGTTGTACAATATTTCTCGCGTTACTTGACGTGTAAATGCGTGAGAATTATTTTCAGGTGTCCAGTGTAATACTGGAATATAAAGAACACACGTTCTCTTTCTCTGTCAGTCACACACACACGTACACGCACACACACACGTATACACACACACACGTACATACACACACAAGCACATATTCACACTCGATCACAGACAGTACTCAGTTTACCTTGCCAGATACGTTACCAGCACAGAGGCCGAACACGCGTCTATCTGACAGTTTGGCTGTGTGCCTCTGTATATATTAGCAGCTACTTGGCCTTTAACAAACGGCGCGCGTGTAACTGTGAAATGGAATATATTCTAGTCAGTAATTGTAAATTTGTATCATTAGTTTACAAACAGAATTGTGTACATGGTAAAAAATATAAACAAATACACAAACAGACCCACACACTCATGTATATATATATATATATATATATATATATATATATATATATATATATATATATATGCATATTTATAACACGCTTTCCTTCTGGGCATCTTTCCTACGAGTCACTTAACAATCACTTGGTTTCCGTAAATCACAGAGTTTGGTTTGAGAGTTATTTCATGGAAACAGAGGTTATGTAAAGAAATGTCCTATTTTGATGATATCTAATGTGTTAGAGTTGTGCAATTTATGAGGGGGAAAACTTTTCTAGAAAGCAGTTTTATAATTAATTAACAGAACCCGGTATTGGGGATAATAATTATATAATAAGTCAAAAACAATAGTTCAAATTTTTTTTTAAATATTTGAATTTTTGTCTGCACTTGTTTTCTGTACAGTTTAGTTACAAGGGGACGTAATCCCGTGCTATGCGCCGATTACAGTTCCTGGCTAAAATACCGAACCGGAAAAGAGTAGCGAGACTTAATTTAAAGCACAGTTTTAACGTGCATTATGGTTATTAATAAATTATTAATCTTTATTTGCTAAACCCCATCACATCTCGCGAGAAACCTGGCAATTAAAAAAATATCAGAACTGCTTCGAACTATACAAGCTTATTTAATTACTCGGCCGGAAGTTATTGACGATTTCCAGTTGTTGACTGACTCAAACCGTCTGGCAAGGAAAACCACTTAGATCCAGTAGTCGACTTACTCATTAAAAGTGTAGGTCTATACGGATCTATATTAAGAGAGTGATTATTTCCCCTACTATAGTTCATTTGTCTTAAACATTTTTATTATTGCGTTATGTCAAATTGTTTTGTTTTTACAAGGATTACAATACATGGTGTGTTGCGTTTCTTGTTGTGATTTGTTCTTGGTTGTGTTCTTCTTTGCCGCGTTTTGTTTTGTATTGTTTTGTCTGATTAATTGTTTTTTATTGTGGGCCTACACTACACTGTTTATATATATATATATATATATATATATATATATATATATATATATATATATATATATATATATATATATATATATGTGTGTGTGTGTGTGTTTGTGTGTGTGTGTGTGTGTGTGTGTGTGTGCGTCGATTCACCGCTCCCCTTAACTGACACGAATACGCCTCTGATCAGAAAATAATATAATCGTTAACTACCCCTTCCCATTACCCTTTGTATAGCCTAACATTTACCTTGCATATCATGACTTAATGGGCAGGTTAAATAACAACTATATGCGTATCGTCAGCTCGGCTTCCTTAGTTCCTCATTAATAAAATAATAATAAATAACAATAATAATAGATGTATAGACCCACGCTTTGAACTGACAGGCGCATTGCTAACACGTCAACCAGAGTTTCTTTCATCTTTCAGACATTATTCTTCTGAAGGTAGGGGAGGGGAGGGCACTTGAAACTTTCAGGGGGACGGGGCGCACTTAACTGGCCATTATGCGTCATGTTATTCAATAATGTCGACCATTATCGCTCGGCTGAAGTGAGGAATCAGGGCTTGCAACCGTCCATTTTAATAATTTTTTTATATGTAACACCAAACTCTTCCTGCTACAGAAAGGATCCGAGGCTCGGAGGGAGGGGGGGGGGGGGAGAGTAGGAAAGGGTACACACTGCTTAAATCGTCTACCATTATTATCAGATGGAAATCCCAAGACAAGTTGCAAAATAAAACAACTCGTCCCAAAACATATTTCATGACACCGAGAACGTCGAAAATTTCCATCATGGTGGGTCAAAAATGGTACTAGCTAAAAGAG